ATCCTCCTCTCAAACCCACATCACCACTACCCGCAACAAAAGTCTTGATCATTCCTAGTGTCGCCATGTGAGGGACTGAAGTTAAACCCAGAGAAGGACTGCTCCGGTTTCCTGAGTGAGCCCAAAAAAGTAAAAGGGCAAAGAGGTCGGAAACACAGAGAAGAAATTACTTCTGGACAGTAAAACCCACGATTTGTGCCGTTGTTTGGGATGATTGTGGATTCCTTCCTCTTCCTCCCTTCAGCCCGGCTGGGGACTGGGGAGGCGGGTGGGACCGGGAGTCTCTAGGCTTTTCCAGCCGCCTCGCTGCAGTAGGGAGAAGGCGGTGTTGCAGGAGGCGTGGGGAGTCGCCCGCCCGACCACCCTGCTGCCCGGCTGGTGGCTGCGCAGCGGGAGGGCGGGCCCAGGTGTCGGGGCGGGAACGAGCCAACGCCCGGAGCGCAGATTCCAGGGGCGCGCAGTCAGCCCTGGCCAGGCTCCCCCATCCAGTTCCCCCAGTCGCCCGCGAGGCGCCGCCGATTACATAAACAGCCTTCACCTCCCTGCGGAGGGGACAACCAAGGGCTGGGGACACGCAGGTCGAGACCCGAAAGCAACGCCCCTCTGGACTTTCATTCAGAATCAGCCAGGACCGCCCAAATTCCCTGTTTACAATTCTCACAGCCCTCGTCATGGTCATGGACTTCGCGCCTTTTGCCTTGTTTCCTTTCATTGTGTACAGATTTAACTTCCTCACTACAAAGGGAGATCTTTCCCAAGTATCTTAAGTTGATTTTATACTTCCTGGCTCTACCAACCCCTGACACTTAGCATAGACCCTAGAATGGGGTACTTGATTAATAAATATTTACTAAATTAAAACCATGCCCTAATTTATCTTTTCCCCAAAAGACTGATGTCTTGGAAATCCCACTCAATTTTCATGGACCAGCTCCACCTCACCTCCTCCAGGAAGCCTTCCCCACGCAGCGTTCCTGGTTCTTTCTGTTGGAAAAGTGTGCACATTCCCAAAGCCACTACAGCCATCTCCTTGCAGCACTTCCTGCAAGTTGACTGTGAGGTCCTGGAGAACAGAAGTAGCATCTCACTCACTTTCATTCCACTCCCCCACCCTCCTTGAGCAGTACAGGGCCTGGTTCCTAAAGGGATGTAAATGAAGGAAGGGTTCAACATAAATGAAAGAATACTTTGTAGCAAGGTTTAAATTTGGGGAGGTCTTCCAACCTGGATCTTAACCTTGAACTATGACCACAGTCTTCTCAGCCATGAGGGATAGGGGTCGCCTCTTTAGGAGCCTCTCAGAAGCTCATTTACTGAAAGAGTGTTCTGGCCATTCATTCAATGTTATGACTGGGAAGTCAAGTGAATACTGAACCCTGGCCAACAGCCTAGATTTCCATTCCCCAGTCCAAAGTGTTTTCTGCCTCTTCACACAGTTATGATACTACTAACAGCATGTTTACAATGTTGAACAGTTTACTAAATGGATTCAGATACATGATTCCATTTGCTTCTCATCACTGCTTAAATTAGATATCATTACATTCCCATATTTCAAATATGGTATGAATGTTCAAACTCACATCTTTTAACCCAAAGCACATGCAAAGTTGTCTTGAAAAGATAAAATTTCATAAAATAGATGATAAAATGGTTATAACAAATAATAACTTTCCATGGTATTTCCCTGCAAGACAGACGGACACACACACACACACATACATGCATGCACACACACACACACACACACACACACACACTTATCTGCTATATTAGTTTCCTAGGGCTTCCATAACACATCACCATAGACTGTGTGGCTTGAAACAATAGACACATTCTCTTACAGTTCTGGAAGCAAGAATTCTGAAATCAAGGTGTCAGCAGAGCTATGCTCTCTCCAAAGGGTCTAGGAAAGAACGCTTCATTGCCTCTTCTAGTTCCTGGTGTTTGCTGGCAATCTGCAGCATTCTTTGGCTTGTAGATGCCTCACTCCAATCTCTGACCGCATTTTCACATGGCCGTCTCCCATGTGTCTGTGTCAAAATTTCCCTCTTCTTATAATGGGCCACCATAATCCAATATGATCTCATTTAAACTTGATGAATAGACCCCTCCCCCCTTTTTTTTTAGAGACAAAATCTGGCTCTATCACCCAGGCTGGAGTGCAGTGGCATGATCTCGGCTTACTGCAACCTCCGCCTCACTGGCTCAAGTGATCTTCCCGCATTAGCCTCCCAAGTAACTGGGACTACGGGCACACAGCACCATGCCTGGCTAATTTTTGTATTTTTTTGTAGAGACAGGGTTTTGCCATGTTGGTCAGGCTGGTCTCAAACTCTTGAGCTCAAGCGATCTGCCCACCTTGGTCTCCCAAAGTGCTAGAATTACAGGGGTGAGCTACCTCATCTGGCCAAGACCCTATTTTTGAATAAAGTCACATACATAGGTACCTGGGGCTAGGACTTCAATATGTCTTTGGCAGACACAATTCAACCTACAACTCCATAATCTGTCACCCACAGGAAAGTGGGGACATAAAAAAGAAACAATGCTATTGGAAAAGAGAGCCAAGGGCAACACTTGTGGGAGGCTAAGATGAGGAGAAGGGAAAATAGATAGTGGATATATTTTCCAGGGAGGGTCAAATTTGAGTATCTGACCTGGAAAACCGAAGAAAGGAGAAAAATGGTTTTCAAAAGCTGAAAGAGGAAAAGGCATGGTAGGAGTGGAGAAGTCATTAGGAGGGTGGAAGAGTTGCTCCCTAGGGAGGGAGAGTAAGAGCCACTCCACTCCCAGGGAAATCCAGTGAAAACTGGGGCAAGTGTCAAGAGATGGAGACCCACGGAACTGAGCCTTTTCCCCACCAGAGTGGCCCCCTTGGGGAGGCAGGAGTCTGGGAGCTCCCAAAGCATATTCCCACAGAAACTTTGGGGTCATGAAGTCATCTTGTCCCCTTTCCCAGACCTGTTCCTGCTGCCTGTTTTCGAGTCATTGTTGCTACCAACCCCCACCCAGTCACCCAACCTAGGTGTTATCCTCAACTCTTTCTCTTCCTCATTCTCACAGTCCTTGAGGCCCCAACCTCCTTGATGTTAGCGCCTACCACAGGACTCCACCCACCTTCCTCCTAGCACTGTCTAGATCAGCCCTCACCTGGATTATGACAGTTGCCTTTCTCATCTCCCTGCCTCCAGACTTATTCTGCCCAATCCATCTTCCATTACCCAGGCCAAAGTCTATGCTTTTTTAAAATTTTATTTTGAAAATCTTCTGACAGAAGAGTTGAATGAATTTTACAGTGACCATCCAAATACTACCACCTAGATTTTATCATTAGCATTTTACTATACTTGCTTTATCAAATATGTTTCCATTGATCCATTCCTTCATCCTTCTATTCATCTTATAATTTTTGTACTTTAAAGTAAGCTGCAGATATTCAAATGATTTCTAAAAATATAATCTGGTCATGTTAGAACTTGTTGGACTTTCAGTAATGCCTCCCTTCTCTAAAGGATAAAGCCTGAACTCCACGTTGGCATGCCTTCAGCCTAACCCCTGCCCCGACCTGCTTCCCATTTTTCACTCTAAAAAGCTCAAATTGCCTAAAATTCCCCACTCACCACACTGTTTACATCTCCCTGATCCGCTTTCATTGTTCGTTTTTCTTAGCTTGTCTTCAGCCTTCCAGGGCCTCAAATGCCTCCTTCCCTGAAAGCCTTTCTTGATCCCCCCATTGTCTCCGACACTAGTTTAGGCACCACCACTATGAGCACATAGCAGTCCCCAGGGCATAGCTTGATCACTGCATTAATCTCCACAAATCAAGATGATCTGTTTATGTGTGTTTCTCACCTCTACTCCGATTGAGAGCTTCCTGAAAATTCAGGGATCCTGTTTTATTTGTCTATTGTCCTTGGCACCTAGAACAGTCTGTGACATGTGTGGGTGCTCCATAAATATTTGTTGAGTGAATGCATTACTGGCTTTGTCCTTTCTAAGAGCACCTCCTGCCTTTGTACTGGCTTCTCCCACACAACATGGGGCCAGGTATTCAATGCAGATCCCAGAGGGTTAAGAAGGAAGCAAAGAACACTGAGTGTTATCCGTATTTTCCAGCCAAAGACCCCCCAGGAACATAACGGTCATTAAACACGCTGAATTTATTACTCCTTGTAGCAAGGAAGAATGTACCCCACGGGGAGTGAGGGACATCTCAATAAGAGTGTTAGGAAAAAAGCTGTGATAGGATTTGGGTTTTGGTTAGGTGATTTGGTGAAAAGTCTAAGGAAGTGGGGGTTTGCTCTAGATTAATGCTGCTAGAAAGCAGAGCATTCTGTGAATGAATATCCAAATAAATATTTTCTATAGGGAGGGAAGACTAAAATGATGGGAAAACTATAATTGGTAAAGAAGTAGCAAACATTTCTGTTAGCCAAGAGAAGGGGTGTTTGGTATTTTGTGGGTGGCACAGTGACCTTTTTTTGGGTCTGTGCTCAGAAAAACTTATGAAGCGACCTTACATTGTCTCACTTTATCAAGGTCTAAGAGTAAACCTGTCTGAGATTGGTATTCTGTGATATAGTACATGCCTAATAGGTGAATAACATGGTTTAGCTGTGTTAGGCCAACGTCTGAATGTCAGAGGCTGCTCTTTTTTTTTTTTTTTTCTCTCAGGGTTTAGGTGGGGAATTGGGAAAAAGATGAATTAGTGGAGTTGGGGCATGTGTATATACGTGTGCAGAACAGAATCCTGTTCAATGCAAAAAGCTTTTTTTTTTTTTTTTTTTTTGAGACAGAGTTTCCCTCTGTCACCCAGGCTGGAGTGCAGTAGCACAATCTCAACTTACTGCAAGCTCCGCCTCCCAGGTTCACGCCATTCTCCTGCTTCGGCCTCCAGAGTAGCTGGGACTACAGGCGCCCACCACCACGCCCGGCTAATTTTTTGTATTTTTAGTAGAGATGGGGCTTCACCGTAGCCAGGATGGTCTCGATCTTCTGACCTCATGATCCGCCTGCCTCGGCCTCCCAAAGTGCTAGGATTACAGGCTTGAGCCACCACTCCCAGCCACAAAACTTTTCAAATAGAGGGTCTGGAGTTTATTTCCAAGGTGTCCACCTCCCCAGTCCAGGCATATAATTCCAGGTCACAGTGCTGACACTTTCAGCCTCCATGGTCATGGAAGGGGACAGATGGCCCAGGTCCCTGGTGGCTCTGAGTTGTGGGGAGGGAGGAGCCAGTGGCCTTGGTTGGGACCTCTCTCAGGCTTCTACCTAGACATCCCTTGTTCTGCCAGGGCAAACACTCTGAAGCTTGTTTTCTTGGCTGGCTGTTTTTGTTTGTCATCCTGCCTGGTATCACAGCCTCCCGGTGACTCCCAAACCTACTCATTTGAGCCCTGAGGAAAACCTATTAGATATGAATTCTTTGTTGGTTTTGTGACAGTGGCCTCTGACCAGACGGGTTCAGCTCCCTGGACCCCAAGGGCCTTGTTGTCTCTGCTCCCTGCCTTCTGGGGTGATGATCTCACCCTTCCCCCTAGTTTCAGGGATCCAGTGACTCACTGCAGAATAAATCAACAGCATGGCAGATGCTTGGGCACCTGAGGTCTCTGAGGACACTCTCTAAGGATATGGGGCTGTGATCTTTTTTCATTCAGTCTGGTGCTTCTGTCTGACTGTTAGTGATTCCCCTTTCCTGATAAAGCCTTTAAGATTTCCTTCAAATCAGACAGCCCTGAAGTTGCTGCCTCCTGCCTTCATTATTCCTTTCTGCACAAGGCTGAATTGATTCTGTTCTGAAATGTTCCTCATCCCTGCCCTCCACACACATACTCACACAATGCGCGGCTTGCTTTTTCATGGCCTCTTGTCTTGTGCTTCTCTTCCTTTTGGTTCAAATCTTCTTTTTTAAAAAAAAAAGAAAAAAAATGTTTTTTTAGATGAGGTCTTGCTCTGTTACCCAGGCTGGAGTGCAGTGGCGCATCTCAGCTCACTGCAACCTCAGCCTCCTGGGTTCAAGAGCTTCTCCTGCCTCAGCTTCTTAACTAGCTGGGATTACAGGTGCCCACCATCACATCTGGCCAATTTTTTGTACTTTTAGTAGGGACGGAGTTCCGCCATGTTGGTCTGGCTGGTCTTGAACTCTTGACCTCGGGTGATCCGCCCACCTTGGCCTCCCAAAATGCTGGGATTTCAGGCATAAGCCACCGGGCCAGCCGAAAGTCTTCTTTAGCTATGATCTTCCTGAATCCTAGTTTGATTTGATCCTTCAGGACATGTTTCTGTGTATTTACACATCTGTGTTTTATACACATAGAAGAAGTGTGTGTGTGTGTGTGTGTGTGTATGTATGTATGTATTTTTGAAATAGCTATAAACCAGGGACAGTGGAAATAGTGAGGATATGTGTTTGTGGAACCAAGTGAGGTTGTGGTTATAAGAAAAAGTTATATCTTTCATAACAGAAAATCAATAATAGATAACGCCTAAAATTAGAAGAGTAAATAGTAATAATATCATCCTCGTATTTACAGATGTGAAGGTGAACGCCAAAACAGCTAAAAGAGTTGAAAGTAGTGGAGATGGGGGTGAGGGCTGCCGTTTAAAAAAATTAACTCGTCTACTTGTTTGACTTTTTGTTTGCATGTATAACTGCAATTAAAATCCTGAAAATAATCTAATTGTATTCTGTGTTCCTTTCCCCGCCCGCCCAACCAGCCATGTGAAGATCTGTCACCCACTCACTTCCTCAGCCCAATTTCTCACCCTTGCTTCCTCTCCCTTGACTCCATCTCCAGGGGCTAGCCTTGTCCACCCCCTCGGGTCTCTCCTACCTGACTGCTCTCCTCCTGCCTCCAATCTATTCTCCACCTGCAGACAGAACAATCTCTACAACCTGTGTCATCAGAGTGTGTTTCACTTCCACTTGAAAACTCTCTGAGACTTGCCTAATGTAATAGGATTGAGTTATGCCCTCAGTATGACAAGCTTCATATCCCTCTCGGCAGCAACCCCAGGCACGCAGCCTGCGCCAGGCTCAGACACGCCTCCTTCTCTTGGCTGCCCTGGCTCTGTACTCCCTCTAACCAAAACCCTTCCCCTGTATGTGTTTCTTTACTATGGATCACAATTTATAGCACATAATGTTCTGCACTTTTTCTTTTAACCATGATCTTATAAATCTTCTCATGTCAACCCAAATAGGTCATCTTCACTATTTTTAACTGTTACATGAATTCAATTACATAATGTATATAAAACCATTTTGCATGCCATCTGGCATATAGGAAGACTCAAATATATCCTTATCTCATTTAAGATTTAAGTTCCCATCACCGCAACATAATGGAGAAACACCCTTTGTCTCCTGTAACACTATAGTTGTAAGATTCCTCCTCAACTCTTATTACAGCTATGTATTGTGCCTTTTAAAAATACTTAGTATTTTTTTCATTGAGACAAGTCTTGCTATGTTGCCCAGGCTGGTATCTCACTCATGGGCTAAGTGATCCTCCTGCCTCAGCCTCCCAAAGTGCCGGGATTATAGGCATGAGCCACTATGCCTTGCCCTATGCAATGGTTTTAAACAGATAATGAATTTAATTAATATCACTGTTCTTCCCATTATTTCTGTAGCTTTTCCACCCAGCTCCCTACACATCCCTCTTTTGTGGATCTCAACTCCTTGGAGCTCTCCCACACACTGCTTGCTTGCTTTTCCCTGAAATGCCCTCTGCTATCCCCTTCTGCCATCCACTGGGGAAGTAGTTCCCTTCTTCCCAGACAGCCCCTGTGAAAACTTTTCTAAGCTGTCCTCTCCCAGAGGAGCCTTCAGCCTATGGGCAGCCCCGCCCCCGATCTGGTTTGCACTATTCATATCACTCCTTAACCAGAAGGTCAGTCTTTTGAAAACAGGGTGTCTTAGTATCTTCAGCGCCTAGCATATTGCCTGGCACATAAAAAGTGCCCCATAAGTGTTAGTTGGATGAGAATTCTCAACTTCTAAATGTCTAATCTCATTTTTCTCTTTAATATGCCACATACAGAAGCAGGTGCTCTGTGGTATAGAGGAGAATGTACATTCTTACTAGCTGTGTGATCTCGGGCAACTCACATCACCTCTCTGAGCCTCAGTTTCTTGATCTGTAAAATGGGGGTAATGATATCTATGATGAATGAATGATGAAATAAAACATATGAAGATGTTCCAAAAATGTAAAAAGTATTACTATCACTCCTTCTTCAATCTCATATCAAATTTTCCATAGTTCTGACAAAATCTTCTCCCCAGGTCCAGCCCCTTCTGTAAGATCATGTCTCTCCCCCTGACTCCTGATCCTCATTCCTTTCTTTTTCTTTTTCTTTTTTTTTGAGATGGAGTTTTGCTCTTATTGCCCAGGCTGGAGTGCAATGGCGTGCTGGCTCACCACAACCTCCGCCTCCCGGGTTCAAGCAATTCTCCTGCCTCAGCCTCACCGAGTAGCTGGAATTACAGACATGCACCACCATGCCCGGCTAATTTTGTATTTTTAGTAGAGACGGGGTTTCTCCATGTTGGTCAGGCTGGTCTCGAACTCTTGACCTCAGGTGATTCGCCCGCCTTAGCCTCCCAAAGTGCTGCGATTACAGGCATGAGCCACCATGCCCGGCCTCCTCATTCCTTTCTGGTGCTGCTGTTTTGCCCTCCCATTCCCTTCCTCTAACTTTGTAGGCCTTATTCTTGCCTAATTTCTCTTCAGTGTTCACTTCTCTGTAGCCTTTGCCTTTCTCCTTTCAGCATGGCTCTATCTTCACAGCTTCCTGGAAGCCATCCCAAGAGCTCTTATAGGTTCCTTTCCTCTGCTTCCTTGAAGCTCCTCCCTGCTTCTCTTGCCACATATGCCACCCAGGGGACAGGGGAGCCTCACATGGGCGTGGATAACTCTATCAAGCACTAGTTTCAAGGACGCTCGCAAAGGTGCCCAGAAATGGCAGATAAAAGTGTGGGAGATACCGTCCTCTGCGGAGGGAGGGGCTGGATGAGGGGAGCCAGAGAGTCCGAGGCAGGTCCCGGGGTCAGTTTTCCTTCCAGAGATTCAGGGCAAGCAGGACAGAGCTGGAGGGGTGTGTTTGGGAGACGGGGGAGGTAACATCTGAGGCTCAGGAGGCAGTCAGAGGGAGTGGCTCCTGAACTAATTGGCAGGCTGGATGCCAGCAGCGTGCCGGTGATGTTTTGGCTACTGGTCACCAGGGGAGAGGAAGGAAGGAAGGGAGGGAGAGTCTGTCATGTGGACCAAGACGCAGAGGCACATGGGGACTGCTGTGGGCTGGCTCTCAGTTCATCAGGCTTTTCTAGGTCACTCTGTGTTGCCGCCTCCCTTGCTACGTTCCCCTGCTCTGCCTTGTGCTGCCTTGCATGCCCCTGGCTTGGTTTCTCTGACTCACAGTCCATGACCCAGACACTCTCTTCAAGTCTCTGTGTTCCTGGGAGTCGGTGCTCTAACACTGCTGGGGAAGAAGCACTTGAGTCCCAGCATGCAGGCTTTGACCTTTACCCTGCATGGCCCCCAGTTTCCTCCCTGTGACTGGAATGTGACACAAGCTCCTGGAGTAGTTAAGAAAGTAGTAAAATCTTTAATGTTTTGAAAATTATAAAATTACAAAATTATTACTGTGTTAATATGAACTATCCTTGTTCTTTTTGTTTCTCCACCACTCCTAATTTCAGATACGCTTACATTGGGCTGCATAGTTCACAGCGCTGTTGGATGGCCCACAGGCCTCCTGGCTTCACATGTCCAACATGCCACCCTGGTCCTCCTGCCCAGGCCAGCTCCTCACAATTCTTCCCACTGCAGTCACTGGCAGCTCCATTGTCCCCATGCTGGGGCCAAACTTGTTAGAGCTTCCTGCCTCCTGCTTTGCTCCCACACTCCACAACCAATGCAGAAACTCACGTCCAGAAAGCAGTCCCTCCCCATCACCTCCAATCCCTGCCAGGCTCACCTCACCCGGTACCGAAGAAAGTCCTGACAATGACAAGACCCTGCACAGTCGGTCAGTCGCCTATCTGACTTCCTACTCCACACCTGCTGCTCCCTCTGGCCCAGCCACATGGCCTCATGTTAAATCTCAAACACATGAGCAGTTTCAGCACCACAGCCTTTGCCTCTGCCTCTGCCTCTGCCTTTCCTTTCATCTGGATGATCCTTCCTTCAGATAAGCACTTGACGACTTCTCTTACCACCTTCAAATCTTTGCTCAAATAGAATCTATTGAGATTGTAACTTTGTCTACTCCATCCAGCACTCCATCCAGCGTTGAGGAAGGCCCATCTCCCTAGGTGATATTTAAGGAGGGACCTGAGAGATGAATAAGAGATCTTCATGCTCAGAGAGGAGAGAAAGGCATTCCAGGCACACTAACAGCTTTGCTTTGCATCAACCTAGAGGCAAGAACAATTTGGGCTAATTTAAGCAAAGTTGACACATGATGAGTTGGGAGTAAAGATAGCGCAAGATCATAATGAAGACTTAGAGACTAGAGCAAGCAAAAACTTAAGTTTTAGTAGTGGAATAGGCAAGGAAGATCCAGGGCCACTACTTGCTAATGGCATTCCCCAGAGTTGTGTAAGGCAGTCATCCCAAAGAGAGAAAACTATGCTAGTATTTGTATCTTTCTTCCCAGCTTTATGTTGCTTCATGGTACCTACCATAGATTCCACTTATTTATTTGTTAATGAGCTGTTTTCCCCACTAGAGTTTAATTCCCATGAGGGCAGGTTCCTGTTTGTGTTGATCTCCACTGAGTCCCCATCTTTCAACACTGTATCTGGCACATAGTAGGTCCTTAATAAGTATTTTTGGATGAATAAATATAAATTACTTTTATCATCCCTAAAACAATTTTTTTGATATAAGTATAATTGTTTTCACTTTGTAGTCACAAAACTAACAAGAGTCAAGTCACATCTTGACACCCTACTATTTCTAAGTGGTGTCAATGTTCCTTCATACTGTATAATTTCTTATCTGGTTTAGTTAAAATTGGCGAAGACTTTAGTTTTTTCAATTTTAAAATGAGGAGTTTGGACTAATGGATTGCCCATTTGCTGGAGGATGATGTCTGCTCCTTCCTCCAGGGCCTCCCCTGCTGCTCCAGTCCAAGTTCTTTTACCTCTTCCAGCCTCACCTCTTCCTGGGGTCTGGACAACAGAGGTTAAATGGTTTAAAGGCCCACTGGGAGACTGTGAATCACAGAAGCACAGGAATCCTTTCCATTTCTAGCTGCCTACACTCCATCTATCTCACTGGCTGAGACTTTGAAGCTGTCGAGGAAATAGGATGACTACAGAGCAGAAAGAAAGGACAGAGAATTAAAAAGAGAAAATAATGAAGGGGAAGGCAGGGAGGAAGGAGAGAAGGACAGAGCAAACAGGTCTCAGTGCATGTTAGGGAATATTCTGCAGAGAGGAGAAGCAGTTATTGTGGACTGTTGTCCAACTGAAACAAAATATCGCATCACTTTGTCTTTACCCCCTCTCTTGTGATCCCATCTCAACATCCAAAGCTCATTAAGAATATCACCCATTTCTGTAACAGCTTTGCAATTACACAGTCATCCATTCCAGAAATTAGAAATTCATCCTTGATTTTCCCCTCCCTCATTGCCCAAAGGCCACTTCAATGTTTTTGTCAATTCTGTCTACAAAATACAGTTCAAATTGGCCTGCTCATTTTCAGCTCCACTGGATCCCACTATCTCAAGCCACCATCCTTTCTCACCTAAATTACTGGCATAGTTTTCTCTCTTTGGGATGACTGCCATATACAACTCTGGGAATGCCATTAGCAGGTAGTGACCCTGGGTCTCCCTCATTCCATTCCTGTTTATTCCACTACTAAAACTTAAGATCTCGCTTGCTCTAGTCTCTGCCTAAGTCTTCATTATTATCTTGTGCCATCTTTAGTCCCAACTCATCATGTGTCAACTTTGCTTAAATTAGCCCAAATTGTTCTTGCCTCTAGGTTGTTGCAAAGCTGTTACCAGTTCCTGGAATGCCCTTCTCTCCTCTCTGTGCATGACGATCTCTTATTCATCTCTCAGGTCTCCCCCTAAATATCACCTTGGAAGATGGGCCTTCCTCAATGTCCCCCACCTAAATTACCTAAATTAAGGACTTCTGCTCTCAGTCTCTGTGTTCAATATTTGTTAAAATGTCAGATTTATCAAATAAAAGTACAGGATGTCCATTTAAATCTGAATTTCAGATAAATAATAAATAATTATTTTGTGTAAGTATGCCCCATACAGTATTTGGGAGATATTTATACTAAAAAATCATTGTTTATCTGAAATTCAAATTTAACTGGATGTTCTGCATTTTGTCTGCCAACCCTACATGTGTGGATTGACCTCATTTCCTTTCTATTGAACAGATTGAAAAGTAAAAAACTATTTCTCAGAGTCTTTGGAGCTAGGATTCTGGACATTAATTAAGTCCTTCCAACTAAATGTATTTGTATGAGATTTGAAATGCAGAAATGAGGTAGAGCCTATTTTCCTATAGAAGAGCATGGGTGAGCCCCAATAAACATGAAATGTCCATGGCGGTAGGGCAGCTGGGCCAGTGGACGCTATGCTAGCAGTAGCTGCAGCACTACCGACCTATGGTGATTGACCTTGAAGCCAAGAATCCAGTTAGGACATCTTGACTTTTTTTTTTTTTTTTTTTTTTTTTAAATGAGATGGAGTCTCGCTCTGTCACCAGGTTGGAGTGCAGTGGTACGATCTTGGCTCACTGCAACCTCTACCTCCTGGGTTCAAGCAATTCTCCTGCCTCAGCCTCCTGAGTAGCTGAGACTACAGGCATGTGCCACCATTCTCAGCTAACTTTTGTATTTTTAGAAGAGATGGGATTTCACCACGTTGGCCAGGATGGGCTCGATCTCTTGACCTCGTGATCTGCCTGCCTCAGCCTCCCAGAGTGCTGGGATTACAGGCATGAGCCACTGCGCCCAGCCAATATTTTTTTCTTAATTGAAATAGGTATCTAAAAGACAGGAAGGAACGTGCTCCTGCATTCTTGAGGGATGAGGATCAGAAAGTTTTCCCTACTTACGCACCAGCTAGGTCATCTCTCTGGGCATCAATTTTCTTATTCATATTGTAAGGGCTAGACGACACATTGTTAATGCTCCCTTCAACTCTAACATTCTACAAATCTATGATTCTTTGATGTATTTAATAGAGGTGGGAGCCAGAAAAAAATTAGCTACATTTGGTGCACTTACTAGCGATCCTTATACAGGATAATAAATAACTTGTTTGGAAGACCTATTCTCCCTGATGGGGAAGTGGACATGGAAATGAGATTATCATCTTGAATGTAAATAATGTGAAGGGGGATGGGAATTAGAAAAGAAAACTGAGAGAAAAGACTACTAGGACAAAATGAGCTTCAAAATACATAAATCATGCTGAGTGTGGCAGCTTATGCCTATTATCTCAGCTGTTTGGGAGCTGAGGCCAAGGTGGGGGATTGATTGAAGCCAAGAGCTTGAGACCAGCCTGGGCAACACAGCCAGAATCCACCTCTACAATCAATCAATCAGTCAATCAATCAATCGATTAGACCAAGTAAATATCACACTTACAGCTCCTGAGTGTCATTCCATTGCTTTTAGAACAAAGATCAACTCCTTATCCTGGTCCCTAAGGTCCTACACAGCTTGGCTCTTAGTACCTCTCCAATCTCACATCAAACCATTGTCATTACACTTCATACGTTCAAGATCTTTCGCACTTCCGGGCCTTTGCATCTGCTGTTGTTGCTCTCCCCCAACTCTCCTCACTGCTGGCTCCCTCTCATCACCTTCTCAGAGGAGCTTTTTCTAACATCCTATTAAAAGTAGTGCACACCTCCTCCAGTTAATTCCTCTTATATTACCCACTTTGTATTCTTCAAAGCACTGATCACAATCTATAATTATCTTGTTAATTTATTTATTTACTTGCTTATTGTTGGCCTTTTTCAGTGGAATCTAAATTACCAGAGGACAAGGGACTATGACTGGCTTGTTCTCCACTGTTCCTAACTCCTAGAACAATGCATGGTACATAGTAGGTGCTTAGTAAATAGTTGTTGAATGATCAAATGAATGGAGGAGTGAATGCACAGCTCTTAAAAGGAAACTGCTGGTCAGGTGCAGTGGCTCACACCTGAAATCCCAGCATTTTGGGAGGCTGAGGCAGGCAGATCACCTGAGGTCAGGAGTCTGAGACCAGCCTGGCAAACATGATAAAACCTCATCTCTACTAAAAATACAAAAATTAGCTGGGTGTGATGGCATGTGCCTGTAGTCCCAGCTACTTGGGAGGCTGAGGCAGGAGAATCGCTTGAACCCGGGAGGCAGAGGTTGCAGTGAGCTGAGATCATGCCACTGCACTGCAGCCTGGCGACAGAGCAAGACTCTGTCTCCAACAAACAAACAAACAAATGAACAAATTGGAAGGTGCTAAGGGCTTGGTGAACAAGAAGGCCTTGAAAAAATTGAGAAGACAAATAGTGAACGTTTAAGGGAGAATTTAAATGATGGATAGAAATATTAGTGACATTGACAAGTGTGTTGTTAGAAGGAAAGAGAATAAGTGAGCACCTAGGAGGAACTTGAAGGATGGGCAACATTTCAGAGAAACCATTAGCCCTAAGCAGAAATTTAAAGGCAGAGAAAGGAAGGAGGCTTCCAGGAGGGACAGAAAAGAGAGAGTAACGTCTCAAAATAAAGAAATTAATATTTAAGGAAAACAATACAGACTTTGGAGCCAGCAGGTTTGAATTTCAGTCCTAGCTCTGCCTCTTGCCGGCTGTTTGAGCCTAGTCAAATCCCTTACCACGCCAGAATCCCAGAGGCCTCACTGTAACACGGCTGGACTTGGCCTCACAGCTGTTCTAGGGTTAAGTGAGAGAATGGACTATGAAGGTGATATTTCTATAACATAGTCATGTATTTGAGTATCAAGATTGATTGGATTAATCTGGCTGGATCTTCTTCCTCTATCCCTGCCTCAAGTCACTCCTCCTAACTGCCTCCCACATCAGGGCAAGTTTTACTCAGAGTCCCTGGAGTAGTTGCATAGGAAAACTGCTCTGGTCTAATAGAATTTCCAGTTATGTTAAAGCATAGTGTAAATGTCCAAGTCCTTAAAAAAAATGAGTCATTATAGAAACAATCAAGATTGAAGAAAATCTTTGGGAAGGGCACAGTGAGTGGGAATTGAGAAAGAAATATGGTCTCCTTCATTTGGATTTCTTACCTCCTAGGCCTTCTTTTCCCAATCCAGTTTTCTCCCCAGAGATGCTTCACATTCTTTGTTCAGGCCTTTTCACTTCTCTTCCACTCAACACAACTTTCCTTTCTTTTACAGGTCACCTCCTCCTGGAAGACTTCCTGAAATGATTCCCAATTATCCTTCAAGCTGTCAACAGAATCCTCACTCACTCTTCCCCCCTCACTGCCCCTTTAAATTTGGTAATGACAGATTTAGGTTGATGATGGATACACTTCATCTGCCTTAACACACACCCCAATTCAGTAATGCTAAATTTTGTTGATGATGGATACACTTTATCTGGCTTATCACACTTCCTAAGGGTAGGAACCATGACTGTCCTGTGATCAGTCTCCCAAACTCCTCCTCATACTTATCCCTCTTGAAAGCTTCTAAAGACTTGTGGGGCTTTTAAAAGCATGAGGATGTTGATAATTTGGAGGAGAGAAACTGAAGGATAAATAAAAGGATAGAAGGAAAAAAATGAAGAGAAGGAAAAGAAGGGATGGGTCAAGGCCTGTCCCACCTCTAACATTCCCTAGTGCCATGCATGGGTATCGAGCTGTCACACTCCACAACACCACAAGTAGGAGTCCTGGAAGGAGGTGGAAAGGGGTGGGAACAGTTATTTGGGAGGCACCTATGTTAAGGAAGGAAGAGGTGGATCCTAGCAGAGAGACAGGATCCTGTCATGGTCAACTGGAACAAGCCAAGCAAAGCTGACACACATAAAATCACATCCACCCTTCCGGCTCTCTGGAAATAGAATGAACTCGGGGGTGATTAGAGGATCAAGTGTAGAGTGGTTAGGGATTCTGGAAAGGGAGGGAGAAGGTCTTGAGAAGTGAGATGTTTCCAGGCAGAGTCTGTCTCCAAATGCCTTTTCCCTTACTGGTGTCCTGGAACCATTAGGTATGAACTCATTGTAACCAGGACGTAAAGGCTGAGCTGATGCTTTGTTAGCAGGAATCCTCACCATCTGGTTATGAAAGGTAAATGACAGCTAGTCATGAACTTCCCAGTCAGACTGAGCACCGTATGTTTTATATCACATGAGTGTTTCCCAGCACCGTGCCTGGAATCTGCCAGTGAGGCATGACTATTGGTTGAGAAGGATAAGAAGGTCTAAGCAGAGTCAATCAAATGACCCTCTCAGATTGTAAATGAGCAATTCAACAGCTGGGCCTAAGACTCACTGTGTGCCAGGTGCTATTCTAGGTGCAGGGAAAGCAGCAGTGAACATAAAGGTTAGGTCCCTGTTCACTTACCTTCTATTGGACAGAGACAGATCAAAAGTTCATAAATAGATCATTGCAGACAGTAATAAATACCATGGAGATAATAAATATGGGTAAATATATAGTGAATGTCTTTGAGATAGACCACTTGAGATACAGATGGTAAAAGAAGTCCTCTCTGAATGTTACGTTTGGGTTGAGACATGAGTGAGAAAATGGAGAAAGCCATGTGAGGCTCTGGAGGAGCAGGGGCCCAAGTAGAGAGAAGAGCGAGTGCAAAGGCAGTACAGCTGCAGCAGCAGTGGCATGCTCAGAGAACAACAGATAGAAAGCACTGCAGCCAGGGCACAAGGAGCAAAATAGAGTGACAGGTCCACACGAACATCCACCCTTCAAGACCATGGTTCCCCTGTTAGCTAAACACTGGAACCATCTGGAAAGCTTTTAAAACTACTGATACCTGGGACACATCTCCAGAGTGTCTGTTTAATTGGTCTGAGGTGTTACTTGGGCATCAGAAGTTTTAAAGTTTCCCAGATAATTCTAATGTGCAACTGAAGCTGTTAACCGCTGACAAGCCCATGAGGGCCATGGCTAGGCACTTGGATTGATGACAATTGAGGTTCTTGAGGAGTCTCAGAGATATTCCTCCAGTACTTCAAGCCCAGATCCAAAAAGATCATGAGAGGCCTTGGAGTTGGGGATAAACCAGGACAATGAAGGAAAAGAGATAACATGAGACTGAAAAAAAGGTCAAGAGAGGCAGAGACATCCAGAAAATATGACAAATTGGAAGGTGCAACAACACAGAAGTGCAAATAGACTCAGAGAGTCAGAGACTGGAGGAGAAAAGGCAATCTTGTGTATTAGTTTCCTATTGATACTGTAAAAAATTACCACAAACTTAGGGGCTTGAAACAATACACATTTGTTACTTTATTATTCTGTAGTTTAGAGTCTGAAATGAGTCTTACCAGGCAAAAATCAAGGTGTCCGCAATGCTTGGTTCCTTCTGAACGGTCTGCTAGAGAATCCATTCCCTCATCTTTTGCAGCTTCCAGAGGTCACTCACTTCCTTAGCTTGTGACTTCCTGCCTCAGTCTCCAAAGCCAGCAATGTCAGGCGATCATCTCTCTATGCTACCTATCATAGCATAGAAGTGCATCTTTTACAAAATAGATTGCAGTCACAACTGCAGTCTTATGCTTGGATTTCTGTGTGTTTTATGAGCACTGAGCTGGGAGGGTTGTTCCAAGATGAATGTACATGTGTTTGTTTGTGTAGGTTTATCAGGGTGTCATATTTGAGTGTCTCCCTGATAAGTATGGGGGAGGGGGAAGAAGGGTGCCTGGAGGGGGTGCCTAATAAAGTCCTGCTGCTCCATAAAGACTTACTGCTGTTATACTCTTGTTCTTTTAATAATAAAACTAATGATAGAGTATCTGTCTCTTTGCCTGTTTTCTTTGAGCATGTCCATCTGTTCCTAAATAATACTGAACATTTATCCCAGTGATATTCAATGTGTATGAGGCTATTCATACACATTATATTTAGCTGTGATGTTTGTATTACGTGAATGCTTCTGTCTGCAATTTGGGCATCTGGACATTGATGGATGCAGACACATGTTATATAACAGTGTGAGTGATCATAGTTGTAGACAGCTGGATGTTTACTTATGTGCACACCCCCATGAGTATCCAGTCAGCTAGGCCTGGCATTGGAAGGGTAGAGAAGCTAGGAAGAGGAGGGAGCAGGGAGGAAGAAGAGAGGTTGGGAGAGGAGCAGGTAAGGAGAAAGAGAGATGAAGGTGAGGAATGAAGGCACAAAGGAACACCAGAAAAATATCAGGAAGCAGGAGGGGTCCCAGGGATCTGTAACTGAAAAAGGCAGGGTTGAGTCACAGCAAGAACACAAGTCAGAAGACCAGGGTACGGCTCCACTTCTGGTCATTCCCTTGCTATGTGACCTTGGCTATTCCAACTCTCTGGGCCTCTGTGAACTACCAGAGTTGAAATAGATAATACCAGGTACATTCCAAAAAAGGAAGGAAAGAGAGAACTGGAAATAAAAACACACACAGGGAAAAACAGAGAGAAAGAACCAGAAAGAGAGACTCACGAAGAAATTAAGGAGAGGCCCTGGGAGCTGGCCAGAGGTAGAGTTGTGAGAGCTCTGCCCCGACTCCCTGAGGCCGGAGTGTGGGTGCCTGTTCCCCACCCCTTACTCCAGAACTTCAGAGTGCCCTTAAGCCCTTAATAGGTAAGGAAGGAAGATGGAAAGGCGAGAGGCACCGGGAATGAAAACCACACATCAACACTCAAGAGGCTTGCCAAAGCCACACAAACCAGGATCTCTACTTCCGGCCCCCAGCCGCCAGATGTAGGTGTGCCAGCCACCTGGAATGAATCACACCTTGGCAATGTGGGCGCACATGCCAAGAGTGAGTCTGGGCACCCGGCCCATGCGTGTACCACAGGCCGAGGGGAAGGTAAAATTGGGGCTCTTCGGGGGTTCACAGGGGGCTACCCTCCCCACACAGGGTTACCCCGCTCCAGACCGCCCTCTAGTGACCACCTCCTAGGCTCGGGGACCCAGGTGTGCTATTCTCCCCTCCCTGCTCCCCCAAACCTTACCCGGGAAGCGGGAGAACCAGATGAGGCATTACGCAAGGCCTGGTGTTTACCTCCCGTGGGAGCCTCCTCCCTCCCTATAAAGCCTGATGTCGTGGAGAGATTTGCCGAGACTAAGACTCTGGTTGAAGACAGAGGCAATCCCAGGAGAGGGGCAGAAAGCGGCAAAAGTTAATGCGGGAGTCGGAGAGAAGGGCATCTACACAGCAAGCAGCAGGGGCGGCCCGCCATCTGCGCACTCGAAGGCGGTCGCGGTGGTCGCGCAAGGGGCGGCGTCCAGATCCCGACTTTCCATGGATGCGCCCGAGCTGGGCCCGGGGCTGGTGGAGCGTCTGGAGCAGCTGGCGACGTGTCCTCTGTGCGGGGGCTCCTTCGAGGACCCGGTGCTTCTGGCGTGTGAGCACAGCTTCTGCCGCGCGTGTCTGGCCCGCCGCTGGGGGACCCCGCCGGCGACCGACACCGAGGCTTCCCCCACCGCCTGTCCCTGCTGCGGCCTGCCGTGTCCCCGCCGCAGCCTGAGGTCTAATGTGCGGCTGGCAGTGGAGGTGCGAATCAGCCGTGAGCTGCGAGAGAAGCTGGCTGAGCCTGGGGCCCGTGTGGGGAGACGCCGAGGGGGGCGCATCCCCACCATGGGCTGCCTGGACCCGCCCGGAGAGGTGAGGTTGGGCGCGCGTCGTGGAGTTGTTGGTGGAAGCCGGAGGTTCATGGGTTCCCCGGGGAAGCCGGGAATGGCAAGTCTAGAGCCGGAGGCCCTGTGGAAGTTCGGGCAAAGGATGGGGTGGGCAGAGAAAAGCAAAGGATGAGGGGGCGAGGGCTGACCCTGGGTCCTCAAGGTGAGAGGCGCCCGGAAGGACGATGGATGGAGTTGACACTTGGTCCCCAGGGGAGGAGGCTGGACGGATGCCTGAGCCTTGTGAGAGGGGCTGGAGAGAAGAGAGTGGGGAGGCAGAGAAGGAGTACTGGATAGAACGCGCAGAGCCCTGGAGTCGCCACGAAGGGCACGGGAACTGCACAAGTTTTGGCAGGGCAGCCGCAGTCGCCCGGGAGAAGAGCTGGCGGAGGGGAGGGAGAGGCGGGCGGAAGTGGGAGCCGACCCAGGTGAGGGTGAGCAGGGGGCCTGGGAGGATGGTGGGCGAGGGCAGAACCTGCATAGAGGAGCGGGAGCAGGAGACTGGGCTGGCGGAGAAAAAACGGAGCAGGGGACTGACAAGAGGATGGAGGAAGGGAGCAAGGGGTTGGGGCAAATCCAAACGTCCCCGTAGCGTCGTGGGGGTTGGTCCCAGACTCCGGCTCAAGCTAAGCTGTGTGTTGTTTGTTATTGTTATTTCGGCTCCTCCCAAGGCCCCAGGCAGGAGCGGCCACGGGTGGAGGCGAGGTGCGGGAGAACGGCCGCCGGGGCCTCTGGCTCCTCTCCACATCCCAGTCTTACCACCCATCTAACCCCGCGCCTCTCCTGGGCCCGGGCTCCTTGGCCACCAACCAACCCATTACCTTGCCCGACCCCCGGGGGTCTGGGACTCCTGACTGGCTTCTCCCCAGCAGCCAAGCTGGTCTTGGGTGTTGCTTCTGCCCTTTGAAGTCTTCATAGACCTAATTAGTCTGGGTGTAATTGGCACAATTAGGCAAATTGTTTCTCTCTCCCTCTCCCCACCATATCGGCCTGCTCCAGACATCAGCACTAGACAGTGAAGTGGAGGGGTCGGGATCCCAGTGTTTGGAGGGGAGCATCCAGCGCCCTCTCCTGGCTCCCATAGTGCTCTATGGATCTGCTGGGCCTTTGGGACACATTCAGGTCTAGCTGCCTCCCTGGCCAGGGTCCAGAGACACAAAGCAAAGGGCCCAATAAACGCCACTGGGCTTTTATTGCAAGAGGGGAAGCAGCTTTATTGTAAGGCTTTTATATACCAACTCTTAGCCCGAGGGCTCTGGGTGTGCGTTTGGTCTGTGTGATGGAGGGCGGAAGGGACAGATGGTTTTCTGGGATGCACTGGGAAAGATGGATAAGGATGGGGCCACTGAAAGAGACAGAATGGGACTGAGGAGGCAGCAGAGGAAGGCAAGGGCTCTGGGGACAAGAAACAGTTATGGACAAGCCTGGGAACAGAGAATTGAGAACCTTTGGGGAGTGGAAAGGGGGAGGACAGTGGAGATGGAGTTAGGAGGATGAGGGAAAAGTGATGGGGTGAGAGGAAGAAGGGATCATGAAAGGTGAAGGAGGAGAATGAGAGGAAAAGGAGCACAGGGGGTAAGGAGGTGAGATCACTCTGAAAGGTGAGGAGGGACACTCAGACAGAGCTCACCTGAGGAGGGGGGGAGATAGGGAGGGATGCCCCAGGGAATGAAGCCCAGAGCTCACATCCATGTTTGTTTCTGCCCATCCTAGGATATGAGGAAGACATGGAGACGGTGAGTTCCACTTTTCTGTTCCTTCCTTTTCACACAAGCTGCCATAGCCATCACGTTCTCACTGGGCCTACACTTTTGTTGCCATTAATAGGCAGGTTTTCTGGGGTACAGCCTCATCCCTTCTCCCTCCAGAGATGTGAATGGGGTATGCGTGGGGGCATTAGCAGCAGAGGGCTGATTTCCTGACCCTTCCCCTCATCTTTGTCTAGATTTGAAGTCCCAACACCTAAGTCATCTAAATCAGAGGATGATCTCCCTGAAGATTATCCAGTGGTCAAAAACATGCTTCATAGACTGACAGGTAAGGAAAGAAGGAGGGAGGGAAGGGAATTGAATGACAGTCTGTGTTAGATTTTCTTCCTTTTAGCCCTAAAAAGTGATCAGGTCCTTTTTGATGTCTGCATTAGTTTCCTAGTACTCCTATAATGAAGCACCACAAAGTAGGCGGCTTAAACAACAGACATCTATCTCAAAGTTCAGGAGGTAGAAGTCTGAAATGAAGGTGTCAGCAGTGTTGGTTCCTTCTGAGGGCCATGAGACAGAATCTGTTCCATTCCTGTCTCCTAGCCTCTGGTAGCCTCACATGTTCTTTGGGTGATAGGTCTGCACATTTTCTTTCATATGCATTTGTCTCTGTGTCCAAATTTACTCTTTTTATAAGTCAGCAGTCTGGATTACAGCCCACCCTAATGACCTTCATTTTAACTTGATTACCTCTGTAAAGATCCTGTTTCAAAGTAAGGTCATATTCTTTGAAAGGAGGTTTGGAGGACTTCAACCTATCTTTGTGTGTGTGTGGAGTGGGGGAGGGCACAGTTCAGCCTATAACAATGTCTATCCTCGATTCCTCATATTCCAGCCATTTTCCCTCTTCCTTTTTCATACATTCAAACAACAGATCCCTGAAGGTTAGGTGCCTCTCAGAAATCTCTGCTTCCACCACCTCTCATCACTCCTCTCTGGAAGGGGACCCCAGCATCTCCTTGACCCTTCTTTCCTCACTCACTCCCAAGAAGAAGGGTGCCTCTACCCTTCTTTAAACTGCCTAGAGAAGATGGTCCACCCTCCCGGTCATCCACCATCTTGCCCAGTCCAGATTGCTTCTGGCACCCCTTAATCCAGAAATCTTTCTTCAAAGCACCTCATACATATAAGACCAATGGTTCTTTCTTTCTGGTCTCTGGCTATCACCACCTGCTCTCCTCCTCTGCCCCACACCTTCTACAGAAATAGGCCTGTCCACCCACCCCCATTCCTGTGGGTGGGTGGGCTGGTTTCTCAGGATACCTTGGATTCCTCCCTGTGCCCCTCCCATCACTTGAGGTTCCAGTATCAGTATGGCTTTCTCTTCAGATGAACATTCCCCATTTGGCTGACCCAGCTCCCATGCCCCACCCCAGATGCTGCAGATTGAGGTATCAGTCCTTACTCCTCCCTCCAAGTCAGATCAGCCTCACTCTTCCTCCCCCAACCCCACAAACCGGACAACCTCTCCTTTGATCTTCCTGCTGTGCTCCCTGCCCTGGACCAGTATGACGCTTCCCCAGGTCCAGTTCTACAGAAGTGGTGCATCAGTACAAGGTCCGATATTGCCCAGGCCTGCTCTTCACATGCCTTGCTCCTTTTTGGTCCTGCAGCCGCCTTTTGAGCTGTTGTGGAGTCACTAGCACTCAGTCTTTTACGTGATCTCCATTGACTATTCTCCACCCTACCCTGACTGTGATATAGAAAACTCTCTCATGAGGTCCTCTCCCTGCCTCCCGCTCTCCAGCCGACCTGACCCTGGACCCTGGGACCGCACACCGCCGCCTGCTCATCTCTGCCGACCGCCGCAGCGTTCAACTGGCCCCACCAGGGACGCCCGCGCCCCCTGACGGCCCCAAGCGCTTCGATCAGCTCCCGGCTGTGCTGGGCGCGCAGGGCTTCGGGGCCGGCCGCCACTGCTGGGAGGTGGAAACTGCGGACGCTGCCTCCTGCAGAGACTCTTCTGGGGAGGATGAGGACGACGAGGAGAGCCACTATGCAGTGGGCGCGGCCGGGGAATCCGTGCAACGCAAGGGCTGCGTGAGGCTGTGCCCTGCGGGGGCCGTGTGGGCCGTGGAGGGCCGCGGCGGCCGCCTGTGGGCCCTCACGGCACCCGAGCCCACCCTGCTGGGCGGAGTCGAGCCCCCGCCGCGGCGTATTCGCGTGGACCTGGACTGGGAGCGGGGCCGTGTGGCCTTCTACGACGGCCGCTCACTGGACCTCCTTTATGCTTTCCAGGCGTCCGCCCCCCTGGGGGAGCGCATCTTCCCGCTGTTCTGCACCTGCGACCCTCGTGCTCCGCTCCGCATTGTACCAGCGGAAAGCTGAGTCCAGCTAGAAGTTTGGCCCGGCCACTGGCCCTGCAGCTGCTTCTTTTTGGCGTGGAATTCCCCACTCATTTCTGTGAACACATTCACACGCCCATTGCAGGAGTATTA